CTTCAGCCGATAAATAAGTCAGTTTCCAAAAGTTTCAACTGAACTGATATTTGGACAAACGTTCGATAATATTTTGTTGAAAGCTATTTCGCCTGCTGATATTGTTTCTGGATTTAAATTAACGGGAGGTTATCCGTTCAATCCAGAACTGCCTCTGGAATGACTATTTGCACCCAGGTTTGTAATTCAAAATGATGATTTGTCTGAAAAGACTTATGTTAGTGATAGTGTTGTCAATATGGCATTCTCGAAACTGAATAGACCTACAGTCGTGACAATCATAAATCCGGAAGTCGAATTGTTCCAGCTAAGAATTAGCTAAGTGGAATTTGTTACCATTCATTTAAAGTAGAATTCATGTGAATGATATCTGATTTTATTCTCAAAACGAAACCTTGGCATATGTATAAAGAAATCTACTTCTTTATGTATTTACAAATTAGTCACCCTTGCAGGGCGTCACCAGGGGGCTGCATCCCAAAATCTCAAATGGAAACCATTGATATATACTTCATTTTGGAGGCCTTGGTGAAACATTTCTGCACTTACAAGAGGTCTCTACGGTCACCGATCAATGAGGAAGATTACTAATGAATGTCAATCATGAGAAAGAGTTTCATTCTGTGTTCAAAATGTTCAAAATGACTATCACCAACCTCTTGACAAAAATAGAGTCAACTTTAAAATTTTGTCCTTACATTTGTCAGAATTTCTTGTGTTATAGTACTGCACACATTTGCGATTCGTTGTCATAGTTCTTGAAAGTTTTCTGGTACCGACCTCTCTACCCACAATGAGAAGTTGGGAGAGAGGTCGGGGGAACTTGGTGGCCATTCAATATGATCTCTACGCTGAATTTAACGACCAGGAAATTCCTCATCTTGGTATTCTCTTACAGGAACATAAATGTGTGGAGGTGCCTCATCTTGTTGAAAAATTGGATCGTAGGTGAAAGCCTCAATAGCAGCTTCAATCCCAGGTATCTTAGATGTTTCCCGTTGATGAAAAACGACCAATTATCGTACTACAACTAATTATGGCCCATACGTTGAATTTCTCAGGAATTTGTGATCACGCCAGTGTCGGCAGCTGTGTCTATTACCAGAACCATTAATAAAAAATCTTTCTTCATCACTGAAACATATTCTATAGAGGTAGTTGGGTTGTGTGGCTATTAAGTGTTCAATGGTTTCTCAAAACTGCAATCTTCGATCTGTGTCATCCTCATTCAGTTCTTGTCAAGATGGCTTCTAAAAGGATTGAATTCATGCTATTTCATAATTTTACGCTGAAAGTTTTACTGAGACTGAGAAAATACAGACCAATTTCATTATTTCAACCCTGTTTTCATTCAAGCGACTCATATCGAAAGAAATGAAATCACTATTTAGTAATGTCTTTTCGAAATCAATGTCAATGAAAAACTGAATCAACGCATACAGCTAAAAACTTGAATCGAAATACAAAACAATTGTGTAAAAATAAAATCAACTGAATGATAAAAAATGTTTTCGTTGGATTACTTGAAATTTGTTTCATTCTGAAACGGATTATCGTATAGACATCTAGTTTGTGCAGAAATGTTTGTTTCTTTAAGGTCTTTGAAATGAGCTATATATCGATATAGGGTTCGATTTAGGATTATGGGGTGCAGTGTCCTGATGCCGGCCCTGCAAGAGTGGAAACATTGCAAATGAGTAAGGAAAAATATTTCTTTGTACATTTGTTATTGCCAAAATGTTGTTTTCATATCTTCACAGACTTCGGAGATATTAACCTTTGGTAAGACTTTTCTGACACCCGCAATTTTATTATTTTCACCATTGAGAGTGATTTATGTATCAGAAGATAGTTTTTTCATTAGGAAACATATCTTATTCTGATTTATTCACTACGCTTATTCACATACCGTATAAATATTCAAACGTTACGAATTTTCTAGGTTAGAGCTCAGTATTACCGATAAAAACGAAACAGCGCCATATTCGGGCGATATCCCGGATATCAATAAACTATAAATAATAAAACAAATACCAACCTCTGACATTTTTTGCCGTATCCAGATTCCTACAAGCCATGATAACCCTCGCTCCTCTTTTCGCCAATTCCCTGGCGGTTTCCTTGCCGATTCCGCCAGTGGCGCCAGTGATGATCACGGTTTTCCCGTTCATTTTCACGCGATCGTGAAAATAGCCGCAGGTCACGTACGCGTAAAACTTCAGCAAAGAGACGACCGTCAGGAAACCGACTACCAACAACGCAAGGAGTGCCTGCACTATGTGGCAGCCGAAGTCGATGCCCAAGAATATCATGCTGAAAAAAATGTAATCAGTGAGCGAAGACAAGGTTATTTGATCGTTTTGTTCTGTTTGCATAAGAAACAGAGTTCGATGAAGAAGAAATTATGGATTGTTAATGAAGGATGTGCTTAGCTGGTGAAACTTTCTAATTAGAGATGTCTAGGGCATTTAGGGTACATTAGGGCTAATTCATATATCTTTCAAATCAACTGATACAAGTTCACTGAATACATAGTTAGGTATAATGTACAACAGTTTTGCTTAAAATAACGGATGACATGTTGGCAGTAACAGATACAGGAGACATCTCGTTATTGATGTCACTGGACTACAGTAAAGCATTCGACTCATTGAATCCAGAGATACTTATATCCATGCTCAATTATATTGGTTTCTCTAAAACAGCCGTTAAGATGATGCAAGAATACTTCACAAATAGACATCAAATGTTGAAACTCGAAGGCGAACTATCTGAATAGGTGAGATTAACGCGCGGTGTCCCGCAAGGATCTATACTTGGGCCTTTGCTTTTTAGTTAATATACCTCAAATATACTGACTAAGATCAAACTCTGAAAGTATCATGCTTACGCTGATAATACCCAACTTTAATTATCGTTTAAACCAGAATTGCTGAATGAAGCTGTTCAATACTGAACTCCAAACCATTTATGATTCTTTTGTGAAACACGAACTGCAGGCCCTGCACCTTGTGTCAGGAACCTCTATACCCATCACGCGACTGCGGTAGACTAAGATGTTGAAGACACCATCCTGGCAAGCTATGGAACCCCTCAGTTTCCAAATTTTTTTCACTTCAGGTACTACCTTTTTAATTTTCAAGAGGAATAGAGGGACCACATTTTTGAAATCGTTATTTTATATTACCAATTATGTATCATAAGTGATCTTTCTAGTGTCATTTATATAATCCCACCTACCCTATAAAAATTCAAGTCCCCCTGAGTTATTTGATGAAATTGGCCGATACTTGATGAACATTCATAACGTATTCAAGTAATACTTATTGTATGTTTGGGAATGACGGGAGCAATAAGAACTACCCCAACAACTGCATTAGAGTCACTCCTGAATCTATCTCCTTTACACTTTGTGATAATGGGGGAGGCCAGGATGGGCCAATCCAGACTGGAAAACTCACTGAACCACAAAAGATTGGACCGAACAGAAATTTCGGAACAAGTGGAGGAGCACATATTGAATATGCGCACGGACCACATGACATCGAAGTACACCTTTAGCACAAATTTCACGGCCAAAATCATAAGCCGTGAAGAGTGGAAGGCCATTAGTCATCCCGAAAACATGTTTGGAAAAAACATCTGGTATACAGATGGATCGAAGATCAAACATGGAACGGAAGCTGTAATATACCGAGCGGATAGAAATTTAAACTGTTTTGGTTGCGCAAAAGCAAAGAAGAACAGACTTGAAAATTAACAATTTCTGTCGATCGTTCAAATCCCAGTTCTTCCGTCATCCCACGCACCGATTGTGATAGGTCAGTCTCCATCAGGGTCTTCAAATCCTCGTTCTGGATTACTGTAGGTCGAACACTTCAAAGTTCATCTTCGAGGTTAAAATCTCCGAAACGAATATTTCGCCAACCAATGTCGAACTGTTCTGGAGTTTTTTCCCAACACCAAACCGTTATTTCAACACCTCGACTGTTCAAACTGTTTGATCTTCCTCTTGAAGATGATCACTCGGTGATCGAAACACGTGTCAAGGTGTTGAAATATAGGACAATCTGTCTATTTAAAGTATATCCAACTGATCCAGTTTCCATTTCTTAACCATAGTTTGTTTGAAATTTTAGAACTGCAGCCGCCAAAATTCATTATTTTGAGATAATGTCCAATATTGAAGACACGTTGTTCAATTACTTATCCTAAACTGTCAGCTTGTAAATAGTCTTTCAGGGTTGCCAGCATGTTATTGCACACATGCTGGCAAATTTAAATCTAGCGTTGATTCCGGGACAATTTTTTCATCAAAAAGATAATGTAGGTGTAGGTAAAAAGGTAATATAGGAAAAAATATACGATTTAGTTTTGAGACAATGATTGAGTTGTGCAGGTACTTACCAATGAGAAGATGTGTTAAAAGAAATGGTCCGAAATGGTTAGTTGCCATAGTGAGTTCAACGCCGTCTTCTGTCTTTTGGAAGTTTTTCTCGCCTGTTCCTGCGTTGTGAATCAAAACGTCCAATCTGGTTTCCGTTCTGAGAACATCCTCTGCAAACTCCCTGACTGATTTCTGTGAGGAGATGTCCAACTTCTTGATGACGACGTTTTCGTTCTTCGTACTTTCTACTATTTCATCTAGGCACAAGAAAACAATGAGGTGTCTGGTAATAAAATGTAATTTTGTGAGAGGAAGAATAGCCGACCAGTATGGCTTACATGATTCCATTTGAACTCAAGCTTATCCAAAATAACGTAAAAAACTCTGAAATATTATTTAAGGTTATGTATGAATATGCATGAAGTTACCTGGATCGATTAAGAATCTATAAAAATCTATAAAATTATCAAGAATGTTTATCATCAAATCTATGTTTGTGTCCGTTTGTGTGTCATGAGCTACCTTTATTTTGATGTGAATATTGAGATAGAAATATCTTTAAGTTGACAGACAGTGGTTATTGAACATAAAGTTTATAAGAAAGTACACAATACTAGAGTGAAAATGAAAAAACTAATGATGCACAAACATCAATTAATACAAAAGTTGCGAATATAAACACAAAACATCTTAACTTGATAGTTCGTACTGGAACATCTGGCGTGAAATGAATTTATTGAAAACACTTTCCTAACCAGAACAAAAATTACGGTCTCTCCAATCACGGAGAGAGGCTATATTTTTTATTCTGGTGTTGGGAAAGTGTTTTTCAATAGAAACAAAACATCTTCTTAACATATAGTGGTTTCAATTATAAATATAAATATATCATTC